TTAATTCTAAAATATGGATGTATCATCCGGCTCCGCCGCTGGCGTGAGTCCAAGAGCTGCTAGCTCCAGTACCGTCCCTTGGTAACAGAAAATAGTGAATGATAAGTATCCAATCCGTATTTGTTCCTGCCCTACCTGTTCGTATCCATAGTATTTCAATGGACGAGAGTGGAAAATGGAAAGGACAAAACACGATTTGTGTCTTGTTTTATGATCACGGAGTCCCCTGTTCTCTTCTCTGTTCTTCCGGTTGTTCCCGGTTGTTGCCCCTTTTTGAATGATCGAATACACTAAACGTGAGCACTTCTTTTGTATCAGACCTGAGCCTGGTATAAACGGAGACAGTTTTATGACCACTCCACGGCATCGCGCAGTTCATCCGTGCTCGGCCTCGATTTCGGGTTCCAGTGCGCGAAGTCGGCAATACGCAGGAGAGTCCGCGCGACACGCAACAGTCGGTGTCGGCGTCGGCGACTTCTCAGCGTGGACTGGCGGTATAGTCTGGCCTTTACGTAACGGCTTCCACGGATTGGCCCATTTAGTTCCGGTACGTGCTTCTTCGTCAAGGCACGTACCCGGAAGAATCAAATAGATGATGACGTCATGATGACGTTTCACCAACGAGGCGTTTTGGGGAGGTGTTTTCTGTTTTAGAGTTTTACTCGCTACAGGGTGTACTTTTAGGGTTTTGACTCTGCACACCGTTTACATGCAGAAAAACCTTCATAACACACAAGGGGACGGGTAATAACCGGAAAAGCATGACATGTGACCTTTAAGTAAATAAAGTTGCCTTGCCTTGAATGAAATTCATGCAACTCTTAATATTAGATACTGTGTTTTTAAGTGGCGATGGAGATTATTTGTTGACCCTGCTTTAAAGGATATTTAGCCTTTACAAATGGTGCGCTTTATCACTGCCTGGGTTTTGGTTGAAGTGCAACCAACTGCGTTTTCGCGTTTGGCTCATTTTCCATCCGAAAAACTTGTTGTCTACCTGTCCTGTACCACTTGTTATGACTTCTCTCTCTCGCGTATTCCGTTAAGACCCACCCCATCTCACTCCTCGTGCTGAAACCTGGTGTTCACTCTCTGTCCTAAATGGATTGTTGGAGCTCGCTGGCGATTAATGCAGTCGTGTTTTGTTTTTTTTATCTGAAAAAAGTCCCCCCACCACTTTTTCTAACTAATCGTAACGGAGGACATTTCACTCCCGTTACTCGAGGAGCTTTTTGCGGTGTGATGTTGAAAAGCCCAACGGCAGGTCTGAGAGTCTGAGACACTCCGCTCCTCTATCGAATTACACCACAGTTTGCAGCACTCCAGGAAATTGATCTCTGCTAATTCTGTCCGCTATTAAGTCTGCTTTCACTGAGCAGGAGTTGCTGCATAGGGAGAAGCTGCAGAGTAATTCATGTTTTTATTAGTCTTCACATCAGTCTTTCCTCTTCCAACAAACTCACTGACAAATTGAAGATGTACCGGTTTTTTCTCAATTTCAGTGAGAGGTGCTCGCATTAGAAGCCCTACTATAAATGCTAGCTGTTTGATAAAGCTACATTTGTCAGTTGCTTTTACTTTGACATAGTTTATGTGTTTAATCTAAGCTAGCAAATTGACCAAGAAAACAAAACACATGTTAGACAGACGGATTATTTTATTACAAATGTGGCTTTAATTTGTAATAATTATTAGAATAAACAGCCAATCTTTAAGTTCATACTGACCAACAAAACAAAGAAAATGGTAGACATATGTCATGCAGTACATTTGGGAAAATTGTATTAGAAATGTGGCTTTAATGTTAATAATGTTAACAACATTTGAATAAACAGCCAATCTTTAAGGGTAGGTTCCCCTAAATCATCGAGTGCTTTGGGTTGTTGTTTGAAGAGCTAGGGTAGTATTATGGATTCATTTGAACAGGCTGTAAAACATCTACGATTCTAGTTTAACCCTCCTGTTGTCTTCGGGTCAAATCTGACCGATTTACTCCTTTCATCAATCATAACTTTTTTGTTTTAAAGTCGATTGCATTAAGGCTTTATGATATCCTTCACAGTAGACATTTGAACATATACAATTGCTGATCACCACTTTCATTGAATTTTGGATGATTTAGTCAACTTTGTAACACCCATGGTGTTCCCGCCATAAAGAAAAGGAATTAGTAACTATCCGGATCAGAACACCCACTCACCCACCCACACACACACACACACACACACACACACACACACACACACACACACACACACACACACACACACACGCCCCCCCCGCCAACAAACGGAGGTGACGGCGAACGCGTAACAAACATCAACACGACGTCAATACTTTGACACGGATTTAGGACTGATTCTGGGTTCTAGGCAGAAGTCGGACTTGACACGGTGCAGAGTAACTCCGGCGGTAGCGCAACTTGGCTAGGAGCTGACAGCTGAGTGTACTACACGAGGAGTTGTTATTTATCAACGTCTATTAAGATATTTTGTTGTCAGTCAACGAACAACAACGAACAACACAACAGACGACTCTCCTTAATACTGAACAACCTACCGTTCGACGGGTTTCTTTCCTAGTCGAAGTGACTTATGCTTCTTCCGGCACATCAAAGCAATTGAAACAGATAAATTCGGTGACGTTTTATTTGAGGTCACTCCCGACAAATACATAAGGAGGTGGGAACCAGATATGTTCGACCGACTTGCGGTAACAAACATACGGGATGTCAACATTGGTGTACTTGTTAACTAAAATTTTCTGGTTCTACAAAAAAAGCGGTTTTGAGTTACAGGGTAAAAGGGTACCTATTGTGTCTACCCCCCTTTTTAGTGACCCTGCCATGAAAGACGACTTCTTTATTCAGGGAGAAAGTTCACCCTAAACTGTCACCACAACGATACTAAAACATAGTCTCTATAAATGCACCCAAATTGCGCTAACGACATAGATTTCGTAATGAGTTAACTATTTATATCGTCTAGTTAAACTTGTGAAAGATCTATCGGTGATGACCTTTGTCTTTCGCATATTTGTAACCCATGAAAGAAAAGAAAAATAATAAATTGGGCAGGATAACAGAAGCAAGGGGACCATGGCCAATGAAACCACAAGCGAACCCAGTTCAAAACCTCGGCCAGGACAAAAATGCCGATCAATGTAATTGTGTTTGGTAATTAGTAGTGGTTTAAAGCAAATTGTGGGAAAGTTTGACATGTATAACATAGTCCTGATGACCCTATGTACTTGTTGACATCCATTCATATGTTTTCTTGTCTGTTACTTGTACATAACAACACGGTCCACACAGGTACACCCCCCTACCGTGTACTCTCGACCCTTTCCAGTCTTCAACAAGACACACCACACACCACACACACACACCACACACACCACACAAACACACACACACACACACACACCACACCACACACACACCACACACACACACAC